GAAGATCCCACGTGCCGCGGAGCGTCTGCACCCGTGAGCCATGGCCGCTGAGCCTGCGCATCTGGAGCCTGTGCTCCGCAACGGGAGAGGCCACAGCAGTGAGAGGCCCGCGTACCACCAAAAAAAACCCAAAACCAAACAAACAAAAAAAAGGGTTGGGAAAACTGGATACCCACCTGCAAAAGAATGAGGGTGGGCTCTGATCTTATACCATACACAAAAATTAATTCAAAACGGATTAAAGACCTAAACCTAAAATCCCAAACTATAAAACTCTAAAAGAAGACACAGGGGAAAAACTTCATGATGTTTGATTTGGCAATTTTTTCTTAGATATGACACCAAAAGCACAGGCAACCAAAACAAAAATAGATAAATGGGACTACATCAAACTTAAAAACTTTGTGCATCAAAGGACACAATCAACAGAGTGCAAAAGCAACTTATGGGAACTGGAGAAAAATATTTACAGATCATATATCTGATTAGGTGTTACTATCAAGAATATAAAAATAACTCCTACACCTAATAAATAGCAAAAAAACAAACAATCCGATTAACAAATGGGCAGAGAATCTGCATAGACATTTTTCCAAAGACATACAAATGGCCAAAAAAGCATACGAAAAGATGCTCTGTAACATATGTAACAGATGCATATGAAAAGATGCATCTGTAACATCACTTATCATCAGAAAATGCAAATCAAAACCACAATGAGACATCACCTGACAACTATTAGAATGGCTCATCAAAAAGACAAGAGACAAGTATTGGTGAGGATGTGGAGAAAGGGAACCCTCCTGCACTGTTGGTGGAAATACAAACTGGTGCAGCCACTATGGAAAACAGTATGGAGGTTCCTCAAAAAAACTAAAAATAAAACTACTGTATGATCCAGAAATCCCACTGCTGGTATATATTTGAAGGAAATGAAATCACTATCTTGAAGAGATATCTGTATTATCATGTTCACTGCAGCATTATTCACAATAGCCAACATATGGAAACAACCTAAGTGTCCATTAACGAATGAAAAATGATACACACACACACACACACACACACACACACACACACACTCAACAGAAAAAGAAGAAAATTGGGCCATTTGTAACAACATGGATGGACCTTGAGGGCCTTATGCTAAGTGAAGTAAGTCAGATAAAGACAAATATTATATGATATCACTAATATGTGAAATCTAAAACAGCCAAAGTCATAGAAACAGAGTAGACTGTGGCAGTTACCAAGGCTTGGAGGGGTTAGGTCAAAGGGGATAATCCGCCAGTAACAAGATGAATAAGTTCTGGGGATCTAACATACAGCATGGTGACTACCATCAACAATAATGCATTACACAGTTGAAAGTTTCTAGGAGAGTAAATCTTAAATGTTCTCACCACAAAAAAGTAATAGTAATTATGTTTTGTTATTCAATTGTGTGAGTTCATTATATATTTTAGATATCAATCCCTTATCAGATATATGATTTGCAAATATTTTCTCCCACTTTGTAGGCTGCTTTTTCATTTTATTTATTGTTTCTTTTGCTGTGCAGAAGCTTTTTCTTAGCTTGATGAAGTCCTACTTATTAACTTTTGCTTTTGTTGCTTGTGCTTTTGGTGTCATATCTGAAAAATCATTACCAATGTCAAGGAGCTGTTTTCATCTAGGAGTTTTATGGTTTCCGGTCTTATGTTTAAGTCTTTAATCTATGTGAGTTAATTTTAGTTAAGTGTTGTAAGACAGGGGTCCAATTTCATTCTTCTGTATGTGGTTATCCAGTTTTTCCAACACCACTTACTGAAGAGATTGTACTCCCCCCACTGAATATTCTCGACTTCCTTGCCAAATACTAGTTGGTTGTCCACAAGGGGGTTCTTACCAGGCTCCCAATTCTGTTCCATTGGTCTATGTGTCTATTTTAATGCCAGTACCCACCCTGTTTTGATTATTGTACCTTTGTAATATAGTTTTAAATCAGGAAGTGTGATGCCTTCAGCTTTGTTCTTCTCTCTCAGGACTGCTTTGGCTATTTGGGTTCTTTTGTGGTTCCACTAAAATTTCAGGATCTTTTTTCTATTTCTGTGAAAAATACCACTGAAATTTTGATAGGGATTGCATTGGATCCATAGATGGCTTTGGGTAATATGGACATTTTAACAATATTAATTCTTCCAATCCATCAATGCAGGATATCTTTCTATTTATTTGCATCTTTTTCAATTTCTTTCATCTAAGTCTTGTAGTTTTCAATGTACAGATCTTTCTCCTCCTTGGTTAAATTTACTCCTAAGTATTTTATTGTTTTTGATGCTATTGTGTATGGGGCTGTTTTATTTCTTTTTCATATATTTCATTGTTACTATATATAAATTCAACTGATTTATGTGCTGATTTTGCATCATGCAACTTTAATAAATTTGTTGATTAGTTTCAACAGGTTCTTTTTTTTTGGTGGAGATCATATCATATAAGATCCTATCTGCAAACAAACAATTTTACTCCTTCCTTTCTGACTGGGTACCTTTTATTTCTTTCTCTTGCCTGACTGCTCTGGCTAGGACTTCCACTACTATGTTGAATAGGAGTGGTAATGGTGGGCACCCCTGTCTAATATCTGATCTTAAAGGAAAAGCTTTCAACATTTTGCTTTTTGAGTATGACATTAGCTGTGGGCTTGCCATATATGGCCTCTATTATGTTACGGTATGTTCCTTCTATACACAATTTGCTGAGAGTTTTTCTCATGAAAGGATGCTATACTTTGTCAAATGGTTTTTCTGCATCTACTAAGATGATTGTATAATTTTTATCTTTCATTCTATTAAGTGGTGCACCTTACTAACTGATTTGCATATGTTGAATCCTACGCATAAACTCCACTTGATCATGGTGTATGACCCATTTAATGTGCTGTTAATGTCAGTTTGCTAATATTTGGTTGAAAATTTTTGCATCTGTATTCATCAAGGATACTGGCCTATAGTTATCTTTTCTTGTAATGTCTTTATCTGGCTTTGGTATCAGGGTAATGCTGGCCTTGTAAAATGAGTTTGAGAGTTTTGCTCCTCTTTGACATTTTGTAAGAGCTTGAGAAGGATTAGTGTTAATTCTTCTTTAAACATTTGATGGAATTCACCAGTGAAGCCAACTTGGTCCTCGACTTTGCTTTGCTGAGAAGTTTTTGATTTCTGATTCAATCTCCTTATTTGTTATTGGTCTGTTCAGATTTTCTGTTTCATGAATCAGTCTTCATAGATTGTATGTTTTTAGGAATTTATCCGTTTCTTCGAGGTTATATTGGCATATAAACATCCATTATAGTCTCTTACAATCCTTTGCATTTCTGTGGTATAAGGTGTAATGTCTCCTCTTTCATTATTAATTTTAATTCACTTTAACCTTCTTTTTTCCCTAGTCTAACTAAAGGTTTGTCTATTTGGTTTATCTTTTCAAAAAACCAGGCCTTAATTTCACTTACCTTTTTCTATTGTTTTTCTGGTCTCTATTTCATTTATTTCTACTCTGATCTTTGTTATTTCCTTCCTTCTGCTATCGTTGGGCTTAGTTTGTTCTTCTTTTTCTAGTTCCCTGAGATACAAAATTAGGTTGTTTGAGGTCTTTTTTCTTAATATAGGCATTTATCACTGTTAACTTCCCTCTTAGAACTGGTTTTGCAGCATCTCGTAGATTTTGGTATGGTGTGTTTTCATTTTTGTTTGTTTCAAGATATTTTTAAATTTCCTTTTTGATTTCTTTTCAGTTGTTTTCTTTTCTTTTTTTAAAATTTCTTTTTTTGACCCATTGGTTGTTCAGGACTGTGTTGTTTAATTTCCACACATTTGTGAATTTTTGAATTTCCTCCTGTTACTGATTTATAGTGTTATACCACTGTGGTCAAAAAATATACTTGGTATGATTTTAATTTTCTTAAATTTGTTAAGACTTGTTGTGTGACCTACCATATGGTCTATCCTGGAGAAGTTCTGTGTGTGCTTGAGAATAATGTGTATTCTGCTACTTTCGGATAGAATGTTCTGAATATGTCTGTTAGGTCCACTGGGTCTAAAGTACGGCTCAAGTCCAATGTTTTCTTGTTGATATTCTGTCCGGATGATTGTCCATTGTTGATTAAAGCTGGAGTATTGATGTTCCTGAGGATTATTTTATTATTGTCTATTTCTCCTTCCAGATCTTTTAGTATTTCTTAATACATTTAGGTGCTCCAATGTTGCGTGCATATATATCTATGATTGTTATATCTTCTTGATGAATTGAACGATTTATCATTATATAATGACCTTCTCTTCTCTAGTTACCATTTTTGGCTTAACATCTATTTTGTCTGACATCAGTAGAGGTACCCCTGTACTCTTTTGGTTTCCACTTGCATGGAATATCTTTTCCATCTCTTCACTTTGAGCACATGTGTGACCTCAAAACTGAAGTGAGACACTGGTAGGCACCATATATTATTTTTTTGTTTTTTTAAATCTATCCAACCAATCTATGCCTTTTGATTCTCCAATCAAATCCATTTACATTTAGCGTGATTATTGATAGGTGAGATATTACTAATTCCAACTTACAGTTTTCTGGCTATTTTTGCAGTTCCCTTGTTCTCTTCCTCTCTCACTGTCTTCCTTAGTAAACATGATTTTCTATAGTGGTGTGCTTTGAGTCCCTTCTTTTACCTTTTGTGTATCTACTTTAGGTTTTTGCTTTGTGGTTATCATGAGGCTTACATAAAATATCTTATAGATATAACAATGTATTTTATGCTGATAACAACTTAACTTTAATCATATATAAAAACTCTACCCCTTTACTCCCCCCCCACCTTTTATGGGTTTTGATGTATAATGTACCTCTTTTTACATTGTAAATTCATGAACAAATTATTGTAGCTATAGTTTTTTTTAATACTCTTATCCTTCAACCTTATACCACTATTTTAGAGTATTAGAGTATTCTTAATTTGATTATATGTTTACCTTTACCAGTGTGTTGTATATTTTCATACGTTTTCATGTTATTAATAGCTGCCCTTTTAGTTCAGCTTGAAGAACTTCTTTCAGCATTTCTTTTATGGCAGAACTAGTGATGAACTCCCTCAGCCTTTGCGTCTGGGAAAGTCTTTATCTCTCCTTCATTTCTGAATCACGGACTAAGAAAGGGCACTCCTGGCACTAAGCTGTGTTGCCATGTGGGAGGGGTGACACAGGTGAGGTCAAAGTGCTCCTCTCACCCTCTCCAGCGTGTCCAAACTTGTGCTGGTATTGTTGTTTTTGCTCCAGTGTAATGCTGTATCATCTCCTCTGGAAACCTGGACTTCCAAGAAGGCTCTCTCATCTGTGGGGGACAGTCTGGCTCAGTGTTCTCCGGGGGCTCCCAGACTGCAGTCAAGAGGGACTGGAACCAGTTCACAGATCACTTCAGGATCTACAGCCAGTACCAAGGTCTGCCTGCCTATTGCCTAATGTACAGTGGGCAAGGCTCCTTCTGGGTTCTTTAGGGTATGATGTTGGATCCCACAGCTCCCACAAAGGTACCTTCATTTGTGGATGGATACAGGATATTTGTTGTGCAGGGAGGGAAGGCAAGAATGAGGGATGTCTTATACCCATGACCAGAAAACGTTTATAACCATGTGAAAACATCAGTGATTGAAATTTTAAAAACACAAACAGTAACAAAATATCCCCAAACTAAGCCTAACTAGTTTTTGTCCCCAGTGAGAAAGAAAAGTGTTACTATAAACAGTCAATGCATTTTATTGTCTTGACTTCTGGGAACAATCATCTGCTATCCTCTCCTACTTGGGCCACTGCTCTACCTTGCTGGCCTTTACTTGCTGGCCTCTAAAGTTCTTTAGAGCAGACCTTAATACTGAAGCCTCTACATACTGATGCACACACATCTTTATCTGTTGAAACACAGGCTCTGGCTCACTTTCCCCTCAAATTGTTCTTTGGAAGTTCTTTTCTTAAGATTAGTATTTCTTAACCCCTGTGCAGTGTTTCACCCTAAGAACACTCTCTTCTAGCTTGGATTCTATAACACTTTTTTCTACCTTTCTAACTACTCAGTGTGTCTCTATCAGCTCCCTAAAGCTAGGTATTGCCTACAGTCCTGCCTGCCCCAAGTCCCCTTTTCATTTTCTGCTTGTTCTCCTTTAACCATTTCATCCACATTTGTGTGTCCCTAGTTACTGTCAACAGTTGACAATCCCAGAGTCAACCTCTTTCCCAAACCCCAATAACTGAATTTCCAGCTATCTGTTAGTCTCCATATGCTCTGTCTAACCGTCATAGCTATTTTAAACAAATAGATCCACCCCAACACCATTCACCTGTAACACATACAAGCAGTCCTCTAAAACTCACATTATTCATTGCCATAGGTCACTTACTTTGGCTTCTTTTGCGCTCTGTGGTCTGACTTTTTAATCATCATACATCTTTCCATTGATGGCTTTGCTTCATTTCTTGGCTTGATGCTCAGCAAAGATTCTCTGACTGAGTGTGCTGATTATCTCCTCAAAACAAATTAATGTCTTCTGCTGGCCAAGCTGTCTTTGGCTACTGCTAATAATCCTGCTGAGTCTGAGAACCTCTTAAGTGATACTGCACTTCACTGCTGGTTGTCCCTTGAGCAATCAAGACTAAGACCTACCTACACCTTCCTCCAGACACCTGCCTCCTGACCTCCCATGTTTCTTTTGGGTATTAATGGCTCTGTTATCCACACTGACTCCAAGGCTAAATAAAGTCTCAGTCACAATTGATTCCCCACTCCCTCTCTTTTTACTGTGGTAAAGACATAAGGTAATTTACCACCTTAACCATTTTTAAGTATACATATAGTTCAGTAGTGTTAAATATGCTCACATTGGAAAATCTAAAACTCTATACCTGTTAAACAACTCTCCTTTTCCTCCTCCTCCATCCCTTCCTCTCTATAAACCCTAAAATAAATTGTTTCACAAATCCTGGGAACCTTTCTCTATAGTGCCACAAGAAATCATAAGATCTAGTGGTATAAGGGATCTGAAAGGTCACCTGACCACAACTTTCATATGTAAGAGGAACCTCTATAATGTTTACATTCAATGGATATCTAGCTACAGTTTGCACACATCAGCAGAGAACAAAGCAGTCACCCTTGAGCATTTACTATAAGCTTCTTTTTCTCCTTATTTTGTAACATTGATACTACTTATGCCCACCACAGAACAAGATTAAGTTCTTTCTCTCATGAAATTCCTTCGAACTTTTACAGAGAGCATTATATTCTCCTGAATTTTCCTTCTACAGTTTATAAGTTCCTAAGTTTTTTGACAACTACTTCTACAACATGGTTTGGGGTCTTCATCATCATCCTGGCTGTGAATTCAGTGCTTCAGTTCATCAGTCTCTCTGAAAACAATAACTGAAAATGAATTCGGGACTTCCCTGGTGGTCCAGTGGTTAAGAATCTGCCTTCCAATGCAGGGGATGCAGGTTCAATCCCTGGTCGGGGAACCAAGATCCCACATGCCACGGGGCAACTAAGCCCATGCACTGGAACTACTGAGTCAGTGGGCTCTAGAGCCCACGAGCCACAACTAGAGAGAAGGCCGCGTGCCGCAACAAAGAACTAATGCAGCCAAATAAATAAATAAATAATTTTAAAAAAGAAATTAAATGAACTCAATTCCATAGATATGGTCTGACCTAGGCAGAACAGAATGAGATAATCACCTTACACCTTTCTAGACACAATTACATTACTGATTGCTATTGAATCCACTATCAACAAAAACCCTAGCAACTTTGGATTGGTTTGGCCAATACAAGCCTAATACTTGTCACAAAGCTGAGATAAGAAATTCTTCCTTTTTGCTAAATGAATTCTTATTCAGATTACTGTGTCTCAGTAAGGTACAGTAAAAATTAGCAGCTACTGCACATTGGCAGCTACTGAACATTGGCAATAAATATACACACTTTGAAATATACACACTCTGAATTACCTAAAATGTAATGCTACAGGACAGAACATCTCAGAGTCTAGTCTGTTTCCTGTACTCTTATCCAGGGTTAGTTCCCAGATTCACAACCTCCTCTCTATTTTCACTGCCCTAGTTCTCACTGTTACCAACCTCAACTACTCTTTCCAGTCCTCTCACCCACATGTTGACAGATTATTCTGTTTATAGCACACAGCTAGCATCGTGGTATTAGTGATTTGCCTCTACTAGTTTACCCTGGCACTGAGTAAAGCCAACCAGTAATTATACTGGCATTTGATAATCAGTTCCTTCTCTCTCAGCAAACCCCATAACTGCAACAGAGCATGATTCCCAGTCGTATGGACTATGCCGTGGATATGCAACATACGTTGAACACATATTTGTACGTATATAATGTACATAGGCATTCTTCCTTATATATAAGGAATTTCTTCACTCTGTAGAGCAGTTTAACTTTGCTGTTTGCTTCCCTCCTGCAAATAAAATAAGCATATCAAGAAATGAGAGATAGTCTCTAAGATCTGTCACACCAGGTCTAAAGGGCTCAGGTCCCTCATCCCAAATGAAGTGAACAATACAAATCCAAAGTTCTGCATGTTCTGTTTTGTACCCTGTGATAAGGTACAAAGTAGTCTTTATATTTGATTTCTACACAACAAGCACCTTTTTGATCAAAATTAAATGCTGCAAGGGGCTCCTATAATTCCTCTATACTCCATCCAGTGCAGAATCTATCTGAGAAGTGAGGTTAAGTGCATGGATACAACAACAGTATTTTAGACCCACAAACAGCTTACCCCTGAGAGACAAAGTGTCTGGGGGAAAATAAAGATATCTCTAGTCTTCATTTTCTTAATTAATAAAACGACAGTTTTAGACTAGATAACTGCTAAGGTTCCCAACTAGTGCTAATACTCCATGAGTCTTTCATTCTGAATACTATTAGTCTCTAAGGGAAAAAAAATTCATATATATATCTCCAGCAGTTCCATTAACACAGACAGTTTGGTGAAACCTGAAAAGAGCTAACTCACCTCAGCTAGAAAAACTGTCAACAAAGCAGAACAGAGAAACTGCATGTAGTTTGTTAGGACATAAATGAAGACCATAATAAGTTTAAGAATATAAAAATGATTAATTCTTTTAAGAAGTGTCACTTAAGTCAGCTTAAATTCAATCAAGAAGTGGTGTACATCAAATGCTTTCACAGTTCTGCAAAGGAAGAAATCTTCTGTATCAGTAAATTAACATTGAGACAGACCCTCGAATAAGCGGCATCTATTCTTTAGTATGCATATCACAAAGTCAAGACTGGTAATACCATTATTAGAACCACTCTTTCAAGTTTCCTTCAAGAGGGCAGATTTCAAAATCATGAGCTTATTTTGACAGATGTTTACCCCAAGCAGTGATTCCTAGCCTAAATTACAGAAGGGTGGGCAAGTGACTGAAGTTAACTGACTGCAGAAGAAAATGTTATGGGACCAGCTCTCAGAGAGGATAAGGCATAATCTAGATATACCAAATTTGGGTGCGACTTGACTACTACTGGCCTATAAACTCCTTTGAAGCAGGGGTTAAATCGTATTGAGTCTGTCATCACCCACAGCAGTTTGGCACATAAAGAGTGTAGCTCTGAAAGGACTGACCACTGGGTCTAAGCTGAGCAGCCAAGAGATGACTGGGAGAACTGGAACCAGAGAACACATATTTATGAAGAAATACAAGAGCACGAGAAGGCAGGAATATGGTCAGCGCAAAGGTTGAAACCTTGGGAGTTCCAAATACCAACAAGGTTCAACATGCCCTAGAGTTTTGCTCTAAGGTGGCAAATGGGTTTATGGAAGGAAGACAGTAGTCTCAAGGAGGTAGGAAGAGGGAGGCTCAAGGGAGACAACAGTATAGATTTTGAAGTTGCTGATGACAAGAGAAACAAAGTAAAGAGGGAAAAGACAATACAGGTGTCAGACTTAGTATGATTGGAGGCCTGGAGTCCTAGAGAGCGTACTGCAGACTGACAGAAAGTGCAGAACCGAGGACAGTGACAGAACAACAGTCTGGAAGTCTACCCTCCTACCCACCTGGTGAGTCGGAGGGGAGTGCCCCTTAAAGAAGTTTGCCCCCAACATGCAGGTATGGGACAAAGCAAAGTTTCATTTAAGACAAAGGGAAAGGGTACACACAAGAAAACAGCTGGGCATACAAAAATGTTTGATCAGTGTCCAAGCATGGTGGGAAGGCTAAAGTAGGGCATTATGGGGTGCCTGGACAGGCCTAGGATATATAAACAGATAATAGGGTTAAGAGCAAGAAGAGAACAGGAAATAAACTGAAAGCATGTCAGTGACCTGAGGACTTCTTCACAGGTAGTCCTGTTACTGAGGAATGTCAGGTCCCTCAGAGTTTCAGCTAGAGCACTGGTTTGAATATGATACTAAAAATGATACTAAGCAAAGGTCAGTTAGAACCAATATTAAGCAGCTTCTCAAATTTTTAATGCGGGGAGTGGTGAGATGTAGGAATGACTAAGAATCGGGAACTTACTCTTTCCCTTAAATTTGTTAGAAATTCTCACAATTCAACCACTGGTAACTTTTGTTTATCAACAAGGAAGGTTGAATAAAATTCTTATTTCAAGTTAAAAATCTAACTTCCAAAAGAATTTTTTGCTGGGACTATAAAAATGCACCTGAAGTCATAAGTTCAGTTTTTATCTCCTCTATATTTTTAGTTCAGCAAAAATGCTCAAAACAAAGGTCTTAATGATTTGGGAAATGAGTAAAACATGAACACCAATCAAAACACAAGTCCATAAACCAGCATTCTCCAAACAAGTCCATACTCTTGGCATAGGTGTGAAATTTTGCGTTTTTAGGTATAGAGCAAAAATAATTTCACACAGCTTTTCTGCTAAGAAAACAATTACTCAAGAGCATAAGAAAGGCTGATTACAGTCCAGAACACCAGGTCTCAACATGCAGGTCATTTTGCCTGACTGGTCTGGTGGCCCTCGGTGGTCCATGGTTTGAGGCTGCTACGACCCTGGAAAAGCAGAGTGGGCCGAGGGGAAGGGCTGTGACTGAAGCAATGGGAGGGGGTCACCAGGATGGGCAGTGCAGACTCTCCCCCAGTGCTGAGACCTCCGACCTTCCCCACTAGGTTTCCCATATTTTTACTTTTCCTAAAGATGCTGATATATGAAAAATGAACACGAGTTCATAGAAGAGATTCCCATGGACCATTTTAATTCTTTCATTACACCTGTACAATTTAATTCAATTATAATGAATAAGACACAGCTCATTTCCAATCTGCAAGAGAAAGGAATGAAGCAGATCTTCTGCCCAGAAGCTCTGGTGAGTTTTCAGAGGATAAGGAGTGCACCAGTCTCTTAAGCGCAGTCACACTTAGGATCAGGATGTACCCTGAGGTTATGCAACTTTCTTCCCTTTAACCTCTCTCTCCCTCAGCCCCTCTTTCTCCTCCCTGCTTCTTTCCATGTACGTATGTACTTATGTATTTAATAACTCTTCTATTGCTCCTTATTTCTTCCTTTCCTTCTTTCTTGCCTGTATGTCACACAGCCCACTTATAAGCCCACTGCCTAGGATGGGGGAAAAAAGTTAAGATATTAACTTCTTCTATTGTCATTGTTCTGGGAATACCTTCAGTCTCCTAGATTTATTTATATGCTCAAATTTGAACTTGAAAGTAATTTAGGAGTTTGGGTAGGGCTTCTGGACACAAAAAATGTTTGAATTGTAAAAATAAAGGAGGGAGGGACTGAAAAACAATGATTTATTATGGCATAAAAAGAGAACTCTAAGTATATTCCTGTGTTGACTCCCTACCTCCACACCTCCTGTTTGCTTAACATATAAACAACATCATATATTTTCACTATGAAGAACAACTATTTTACTTTAGTATTATACTGGATTATTTATTTTAGAAAGTTTGTGGCAAATAGTTAACAATACCCCAAAGATATGGAAATAGCTTGATTATACGAAGTTGGTCACTGTAATTTTATTTCTTTAAAATTATAAGGATGAATTATGTATACGAAATAATATTACTGAATTGCTTCAAAATAATATTGGAGAGGGCGCTTTCAAGATGGCAGAGGAGTAAGACGTGGATATCACCTTGCTCCCCACAAATACAACAAAACTACATCTACATGTGGAACAACTCCTACAGAACATGTACTGAATGCTGGCAGAAGCCCTCAGACTTGCCAAAAAGGTCTTGGTACTGTGGCCCCGTGTCAGGCCTGAGCCTCTGAGGTGGGAGAGTCGAGTTCAGGACATTGGTCCGCCAGAGACTCCCGGCCCCACATAATATCAAATGACAAGAGCTCTCCCAGAGATCGCCATCTCAACGCTAAGACCCAGCTCCACTCAATGACCACCAAGTTACAGTGCTG